TGGGGGTCCACACCCTGCCCCTAAAAAAATTATGTATCATAATCAAACTGCAGAAAGACAGACATAGACTCTTGAAAATATCAAGAGAGAACTGACTTGTCACATACCTGGAATCTTCAATAAAATTAGCACCAGATTTTTCATGGAAAACAGACCATAGAGGAAAATAGGACAAAACTGCTAAAAGAAATAAACTATTAGGACCAAGAAATAGTACCGGGAGTAAGACGCTTACCTGGCGTGTAGCTGACCCAAGTTTAATTCCCCAGGAGCACTGCCAGGAATACCCCCTGAGCATTGCTGGGTGTGACCCAAACCCCCCACCCCACCCCTCAGAAAAACAAGCACAGAAATTGCGCCAATAAAAAATCCTGTCGTCAGCAAAATGGTCCTTCAAAGTTGCCCTTGAGTAATTGGTTGCTTATTTATTTTTAAAAATATAGTGTCTGTAATCTAATATTTGCAGTAATCTGACAAAGTATGTCACTTCACTTCTTACCGTCATCCCGTTATTCATCGATTTGCTCGAGCGAGCACCAGTAACATCTCCATTTGTACCTGTTGTGTGCTAGTGTAGTCCAATGGCCAAATGACATTGCTTGCTCCAAGAACATGAAGAGCCTCAAACCATTTGCTCAGGGTTGTTTTTTGTTTGTTTGTTTTGTTTATTTTTTGTAGGAGTACTGCTATTTATTCAGCCACTGATTAGGCTGATTGAATTGTGCATGAACTCCACCTTGCTTTTTTTCCCCATTTTTTTATAATTTTATTTATTGAATCACCATGAGAGCAGTTACAAAGCTTTCGGGTTTAAGTCTCGGTCCTACAATGAAACACCCGTACCTTCACCAGTGCCCATTCTCCACCACCAAAAACCCCAGTATAACCCCATCCCACACCCTCCCCCTACCTGTGGGGCAGATGATTTCCAAACTACTCTCTCTACTTTGATTACATTCAATATTTTGACACCAGACCCACCATTATTATTTGGGATTTTATCCCAACACTCAGATCTGCTGAAAAGGTAACAGTAGGCAATTTGTTTTCTATTGCTGGTTATGAATAATATATGATGTCACATGGCTGCAGTAGTGGCTGCGATTTTGAAATTCCAAAATTTTAACAATTAAATCTGGAGGGATTTCTTGCCAAAACCTGCTGGGTTCCGAGATTTGTTCCTTTGAGTCTCTGGGATCATGGCTGTTAAACAGCTTGATCAGGAGCCAGAGAGGCCGTTCATGGGCGGCAACTTGGGGTCTCATTGGGATGGGGAGGAAAGGGCTGGCTCCACCCCCATCCCGTGAGGCCCCTCGTGCCTTGTCACTGCGGGCCCAAACCTGACTGTCCAATGGCCTCTAGTGGATGGTAGCCACCAAGCCGCCAACGGGGAGCAGGAGGAGGGACAGCACCCTTTCCCCCCTGGGGTGGCCCGGTGACAGAAACCTACTGCGCAGTCTGGATGCATTTCTGCCAAAAGTCACTAGATTTTGAGATTTGTTTCTGAGTCTCTGGGATCACGGCCATTAAGTAGCTTGATCAGGAGCCAGAGAGGCCGTTAGTGGGCGGCAACTTGGGGTCTCATTGGGATGGGGAGGAAAGGACCGGCTCCACCCCCCATCCCGTGAGGCCCCACATGTCTCGTCACTGCATGCCCAAACCTGACTGTCCTCCAGAGTGGCCTCTGGAGGATGATGGCCACCGGGCTACCAGGGGGAACAGGCCAAGGCACAAAACCTATTCCCACCTTGGGTAGCCTGGCGCCAGTAACCTACTGCAGGGACCAGACGCATTTCTGCCAAAAGCCGTTGGGTTTTGAGATTCGTTTCTGAGTCTCTGGGATCATGGCCGTTAAACAGTTCAATCAGGAACCAGAGAGGCCATGCCTCCAATTACATAGCTGAGCCGGAGGTGGTTTGTGGGTGTCTCCCACATACCTAACTTTTGGCCATTTACTTTTTTGGTAAACTTTGCCCCAAGTTTTTGGGGTCTGGCCAAAGGCACAGCAGCAGTTTTGGGGTATCTGGAAGTCTGAAGGCTCAATGAGGCTGCTGATGCACTCGCCTCACAGGTACAGATTGACCTGCTGGCGGCACCATACCCCTGTGTTCAGGGTTTTGACGAAGAAGTCTGACCATCTCATGGGTGGGCGGCCACGCGTCCTTTTGTTATACTGACAAAGTATAACACAAGAAAAATATACAGGGGAAAAACAAGCTTTGCATGGTTGTTTAGAAGTGTTGCCGAGCAGGTAAAATTGGAGATAGCTCAGAGGTAAGAACACCTGCCTTGAAGGTATCCCCCTATCCCCCTCCCCCGACATCCTCATTGTAAATTCCAGGGGCACTACCATTTGCGGCCCCCCCACTACAAAATGTACCCTCTCTGGTGCCCTATAATCAAGTGTGTGTGTGAGCATCCAAACCCTATGAAATTTCTAGAATAAAACATAGGATAAAGTCACAACACTAAATTTGGTGATGATTTCTCAGCTACACCTCAGCAGCATGGACAACAAAAGGAAAAATGGACAAATTAGACTGCATACCAACTCAGAACTTCTGTGAATAATATATATATATATATATATATATATATATATATATATATATGGTCCATAGAGTAATCCCATCAACGGCCAAGACCCAGAGACTATAAAACCCAGATCCCGGAAGAGAGTAGCGCAGAGTCTCCTGCCCCTGTGCCTGGCTGTCCTTGCCGGAGTCCCTTGGAGGGGAGCGGGTTGAGTTTCCCGCCCCGCCCTGACCAGGGCTCTGGCAGCCGAAGACCTTCAGAACCAGCCACCACCATGCTGAGACCACTCTCCACACGCATGAAGGTACCAGCAGAGGAACAAAGGCATGCGGGTCCTGGGGCTGAGATCTCCAAACCTGCTCGGATCAGCGCTGAGCATCCTCCACCCAGATCCTCCATATTCCAGTCGGCAGGGGTCACACCCACCAACTGGCCCCCTGGCACTGTGTAATCCCATCAACGGCCAAGACCCAGAGACTATAAAACCCAGATCTCGGAAGCGACATCTTATTATCTCATCCTTACTTTGGACAAACTGGCAGGCTACCGCATGTAACCTGCCCACACGGCAGAGTCTGGCAAATTCCCCGTGGCGTACCCAATATGCCAAATACCAGTAACAATCATGGGTCTCATTCTCCTAACCCTGAAAGAGCCTTGAATATGGCACATTTTTAAAAAATCTCAGGGCTAGGATGAAGGAGACATTACTGGGGCCTGCTTGAGGCAATCAACGAACAACAGGATGGTTGTGATTCGTGATAAGAGTACAAAGGTAACACCTGGAAGGGGAGAGAAATATGTGTTGATAAGATATCTAATTAAAGGAGTAATGTATAAAGTAGATTGAGAATGCCTAAAATCAGAACATGGAAACAACTGATTCAATGCAAAGAAATAAATATACACTTCTCAGAAGAATATATGCAAATTCTAATAAGTACAGAGAAAGAGGTTCATCATTATTAATCATTAAGAAAGTGCAAATGCAAATCAAAATAACATTCATTGCCACCTCACACCTTTAAGGATGACTGGTTTGTAAGAAAAATAGTCAATGTGGAGAAATTGGAACTCTGTGGACTATTAGTGGGAATGCAACATGACAGAGCTACAGAGCTACTGTGGAAATAGAAAAGTTTGCCAGTTCCTTAAAAAAAAAAAAGAACATGAAATACCATATGACTTAGCACTTTCACTTCTGGGTACGTATAAGGGAATTGAAAGTGGAGACTTGGAACATTCATATTCATAACAGTATTATTCACAGTTACAAAAAGATGGAAATAACCAAGTGTGAATCAATGAATTGATAGATAAACAAAATGTTATATATACATACAATGGAAGGAAGCCTTTAAAAGGAATAAAATTCTGATACAAAAATATTTTATTTTAAGGTTCATCAAGAACTGTCAAATTTGTAAAGATAGTTTGCCAGGAAATGATGGGATAGGGCAATAATGATCACGATCACAATCACGACCATCCTGTTATCCGTCGATTGCCTCGAGCAGGCCCCAGTAATGTCTCCTTTGTCCTAGCCCTGAGATTTTTTAAAAAGTGCCATATTCAAGGCTCTTTCAGAGTTAGGAGAATGAGACCCATCATTGTTACTGGTATTTGGCATATTAGGTACATCACGGGGAGTTTGCCAGACTCTGCCATGTGGGCAGGTTACTTTCGGTAGCCTGCCAGTTTGTCCAAAGTAGGAATGAGATGATAAGATGTTGCGCGGCCTTCCGGGAGCTGGCAATAATGGGGAGCTATTATATCATGAGTACAGTTTCGATTTTGCAAGATGACAGACCTCTGGGTCAGGTACAAAACAGTAATAAAAGAATTAGTACAATTACCTAATACATGGTAAATTTTGTCTTATGAATATCTTTTTCTCCATTTTTTTTAGTGAAAGAACTGTGATTTACAAAGTTATTGATTGTTGAGTTTTAGGCATATAATATTTCAACACCAATCCCACCACCACTGTCAATTTCCCTCCATGAGTGTTCTCATACTTCCTCCCTACCCTCAACCCCCATCCTATCCCACCTTCCACTTGACAGACACATTACAAAGTTTCAGTCTCATTGAGAATGTATTTTGGATATATGGCTGTACCACTCACCCATATTACCAGTGTAACTGAAGCCCTGGTTTTAAAACAAGGAAAAGTTTAGGGAAAAATGTATATATGTGGACTCAGGCTAGGGATGTGACTGAGCAGTAGAGCACATACACATCTTACATGCTTGAGGCCCTGCATATACAATCTGTGACACTCCCAGGTGTGATCCTGTTTCTACCGCCACATGAAAAATGTATACAGATAATGTATCTGGTCGGTTAATCATTTAGCCCACCTGAATTATTTCCTGAGGCCCCTCACATAACAAAACCCGTCCGCTCACATATATCTGTCGCGTTTTGTTGCTTTTAGTAAGGAGTCCTTTTGTTGCTTTTAGATGAAATCATAGCAGCCAATGATGAGGAAAGTGAGTATTTTGAAACCTTGACAAGTCAACAGATCTTTCTCTGGCTGCAAGGGCTGTTCCTCTTCGCCTTGGTGTGGACCGTGGCAGGCATCACCAACTCAGAAGGCAGAAAGAAATTTGACGTGTTTTTCCGCAACCTGATCATGGGTATGGATGACAGCAACCCCAGACCCAAAAGTGTCAAACTCACCAAAAACAACATCTTTCCTGAAAGAGGTAACTGAATACTGTTTTTATCTTCACTATAATAGTTATGATCATATGTCCCAAACATATAACTGACATGTCTGGACCAAGTAGGGCTTTTTACTAAAGTCAGGCAAGATTTTGTGGTTTGCCTTAGGAAGTCGGCTGGATTGGTGACCCTGAAATCAGGATTTTCTGGTTTTTTTAAACTACCTTTTTAAAATCGGGGCAAAAAATTTTTTTTGAGGGGCAGTGAGGAGGGGGCAAAATTCACCAATAATCCCATCATTCAGTCAGGAGAGAGAATGAGAAATATAGTTGCTTTCGTTTTTTTTTTTTTTAATTCCCATCCAGACCTTCTCTAAGCATTGACCTTCATCGTAACCTATGATTATGGTATAAATATTTCTTATTTTATCCTTGTAATCGGTTTAAATGTTTCTAGTTTTACGGTCACGGTCCTCCCGTTGCTCATCGATTTGCTCAAGCGGGCCCAGTAACGTCTCCATTGGAGACTTTGTTGTTACTCTGTTTGGCATATCGAATACTTCATGGGAAGCTTGCCAAGCTCTGCCGTGCGGGCGAGATACTCTCGGTAGCTTGCCAGGCTCTCCGAGAGGGGCGGAGGAATTGAACTCGGGTCGGCCATGTTGGCTGCGTGCAAGGCAAACGCCCTACTGCTGTGCTATCGCTCCAGCCCTTTAATCTTTATATTTTTGTATTTGGAGTCACATCTGGCTCTGCTTGGTAATTTCTCCTAGTTCTTTTCTTGAGTGGGATCATTCCAGGCCATGCTGTGAAAGAATGCAGTATAATAATCCTTTGAACTATCTCCATGGCTCATAGATTCAATAATTTACAATTTTTAAAAGATTTTTTCTCTTAAGTAGTTTTACTGTTCAGTTTTTTTTTACCACCTAATAAGTTTCTTTGTTACCTAAGAAGTAATACCACCTTAAATTTACCACCTAAGAAATAGAGAAAACGGTGTAGAGAAAATGTTAAAGTCAATTGGTGTGATCTCACTAGCCAGAAATAATTTCATATCTTCTTCCAGTTTTTCTACATTTTATACTAAAAATATCACGCTATAATTTCTAGCAGCCTTACTTTTTTTATAGCACTGTAGCTCTGTCGTACCGTTGGTCATCGATTTGCTTGAGCAGGCACCAGTAACGTCTCCATTGTGAGATTTGTTACTGTTTTTGGCATATCCAGTATGCCAGGGGGAGCTTGCCAGGCTCTGCCATGCGGGCTGGATACTCTCGGTAGCTTGCCAGGCTCTCCGTGTAAGGCAAATGCCCTACCCTCTGTGCTATCGCTCCAATCCATCATCACTGTGGAGAGGAATGAATTTCACTTTTTTTGTGATTATAAAAAACAGTATATGAAAGTATATAAAGTAACTCCCAGTGGGGATGATAATGTTGTATCTGTTGAGAAGTCTGGTTTATACACTTGCATCTGTCTGTCAAAACATGGAAATATATTCAAGGCATGTGGATTGCATTGTAAAATTCATCAATAGTAAAACATTGGACAGTTAATGGTATATATACTGAAGTGAAGTGAGAAGTAATAGAAATGTGTCAGAAAATAAGAGCATGTGAGGATATACAGATAAACAGGTGATAAACAGGTGTGTGTGTGTGTAAAAAGATATGGAAAACAGAAGATGTTATACAAATGTTTCACGGTCACGGTCCTCCCGTTGTTCATCAATTTTTTCAAGTGGGCCCAGTAACGTCTCCATTGGAGATTTTGTTGTTACTGTGTCTGGCATATCGAATACGTCACGGGGAGCTTGCCAGGCTCTGCCGTGCGGGCGAGATACTCTCGGTAGCTTGCCGGGCTCTCCGAGAGGGGCGGAGGAATTGAACTCGGGTCGGCCATGTTGGCTGCGTGCAAGGCAAATGCCCTACCGCTGTGGTATCGCTCCAGCCCGCAAATGTTTACCTCTCTTAAAAAAATAATTGTAATAGATTTCACTTTAGAACAATTTTTGGTATTCAGAAAATTGAGTTCAATGTGTGGTGTCCATTTCTACTTCCTCCTACTCACTCTATTTCCCTTACTTTTAGCATTTTCACTGTCACTGTCCTCCCGTTGTTCATCTATTTGCTCGAGCGGGCACCAGTAACGTCTCCATTGTGAGACTTGTTGTTACTGTTTTTGGCATATCGAATACATCATGGGTAGCTTTCCAGGCTTTGCCATGCAGGCTGGATACTCTCAGTAGCTTGCCGGGCTCTCCAAGAGGGGTGGAGGAATCGAACCCGGGTCGACCGCATGCAAGGCAAACGCCTTACCTACTATGCTATCGCCCCAGCCCTTTAGCATCTTACATTAGTGTATATTAATTAGTGTATTTGTTACGTCTAATGACACCCTAAAACTTCATTGTAACATCTAGTCATCCTTCCTTCCCCTTAATGCCTGACAATCAGTTGTTATCCTGATTTTGTATTTTCCACCATGTGCTATACTTGGAATAATATAATTTGAAGTCTTTTTAATTGCCATATTGTGCTTAGTAGCAAGGACTTAAGTTTCCTTCCTGCAATTTTTTTGTCTTGATTATTTCTTTTTTGTAACTAAATCATACAGTGTTTCATGGGTATTCATCCACTCATTTATCAAAGAACATTTTAACTAATTGTTATTTTCGCAAAGTATGAATAAAGTTGTGGTGAACATTCATGGATGGTTTTTGTGTGAACATAAGTTTTAAATTCACTTGGCAAATACCTGAAATTGTGATTATTAGATCAAAGAGTACAATTGTGTTTATCTTTGTCAGAAACTACTGAACTATCTTGCAAAATTCTTACATCAAGTTTCATTCCCACCAGCAACAAACGAATAGCTTCTGTTGCTCTCTATCTGCATCAGCCTTTAATATTCTCGGTATTTTGTATTCTAGCTATTCTAATAGATTTATTGTACTATCTTGTTTAAATTTGCAATTTCATAATGACATGTGACATTGGCTATTTCTTTATATTAGAGTCACAATTACATGCTCCTTAGTTTTGGTGGAGTATCTTTTCGGATCTCATTCATTTTCTAAATTGTACTTTGTTCTCTTAGTGAATTTTAAAAGTTTGTTGCGGAGGCTGTAGCAATAGCACAGTGGGTAGGGCGTTTGCCTTGCACGCAGCTGACCTAGGTTCGATTCCCAGCATCCCATATGGTCCCCTGAGCACCGCCAGGAGTAATTTCTGAGTGCATGAACCAGGAATAACTCCTGTGCATCACCGAGTGTGACCCAAAAAGCAATAAATAAATAAATAAATAAATAAATAAAAGTTTGTTGCGTATTTTGGACACAGGTCCCTTATCACATATATTATGTAGGTATTGTAGACTGTGGCTTGTCTTTTCATTCTCTTAACAGTATCTTAGAGGGGTGGGAGAGGAGACAATACAGTTAGTAAGGGCTTGTCTGGCACACAACTACCCAGGTGATTCCCAGAATAATGTAAGTTTGAGCCAAGAGTTTGTGTGTCTTGAACTACACTGTATGTGGCCCCCAAACACAAAAACCAAACCAACCAATGGAACAACAACAAAAAAAATCTTTTTCATGATCATCACTGTCACTGTTCTCACATTGTTCATCGATTTGCTCAAGTGGGCCCAGTAACGTCTCCATAGTGAGACTTGTTGTTACTCTGTTTGGCGTATCGAATACGTCATGGGTAGCTTGCCAGGCTTTACCGTGCGGGCGAGATACTCTCAGTAGCTTCCCAGGCTCTCCGAGAGGGGCGGAGGAATTGAACTGGGGTCAACTGTGTCAACTGCGTGCAAGGCAAACGCCCTACATAAGTTTTTAATTTTAATGAAGTCTAATTAAACAAATTTTGTATTCATCATGGTTTTTTTTTTGTACCTAAAAATTCATCACCAAACCCCAAGATTAGCTAGATTTTTTTCTACATTATTTAGCTCTTAGAAGCTATATGGCCTTCGTGTTTTACATTTGGATCTATTATCTATTTTGAATGACTTTTTGGAAATTATTAAGATCCATAATTCTCGGTTCTTATTCTCCTTCCCTTTTCCTACTTCTGCTTCTCTCCTGGAAGAAGTTGTTCCAAGACCTATTGGTGAAAGTCAGTTTTTCTTCCTCTAATAGTTTCACTCCTTTGCTTAAGATCACTTTTCTATATATGCTTGAGCTATTTCTGCCTCTCCAATCTGTTCGCTGATCTACTTATCTGTTCTTTTACCAGTACAATACTGTTTTGAATCTGGAGAGATAGTACCAGGGTTAAGGCATTTGTTTTACTTGCAGCTTCTGCCCAAATATGGTTTGAATCTTGCACTTCATGTGACTAAAAAAATTCTATCTTGCTTCTTACAGTTTCATAATAAATCTTCAACCTGGTTATTGTCCATTCTTCATCTTTGTTATTATTCAATATTGTGTTAAGTATTATGATATTTTATCCTTCCATTTAAAATTAGTTTTATCAATATCTATAAAATAACTTTTGGGGATTTTGATTTGTAATATGTTGAATCTATAAAATGAGATGAGAAGAAATAGACCTCTTAAAATTTTGATTCTTTCCTCTATGTGATCACAGATTGCATCTTCATAAATTAAATCTTCTTTGATTTCTTCAACATTTAAATTTTTTCCTCACATGACTAAATACATCTTTATTTCTTATTTTTGAGGCTAATGCAAATAGTACTGCTTTGTCCATTTCAAATTCCAATTTTGAGTTTCTGCTTTTTAAGAATGCATTTGGCTTTTATGCATTAACTGTGTGATCATACAATTTTGTTGCATTCACTTATAAAATTCCGAAAGTTTTTGCTGATTCTTTTGGGAATTCCTGCTTAGATAGTCTTGTATCTACAAGCAAGGACAGTGTTATTTCTTCCTTTCTAATCTTTTGTTTGTTTCTTATCTTATTGTATTATCTAGGACTTCCTGCATGATGTTGAAAAGGAATAGAAAAATAACTTGTTCCCAGTCTTGTATGTAGTCCCTGATCCAAAGTCTGGTGTTACCTAGC